ACTTGTTGCAAGCTTTCGAAGCTCCACTGGCTTCTTCATCAGGCGAGACGTTGCAAACCAAACAGGAGAAAAAAATTGGAGATGTTAGTCAGATGCCTGCATTTTGATGTTTCTGTCCTTAGTTAAGATGCTAAGTGGAGGATATATTTTGCAGGCTGGCTTCTCCTCCTTCTGTCCATGTCTATTGGGAGACTTGCAAAGATCAGGAACTTTAAAGTCCATTTGCATCTCAACAAAGACCGTTCTCTTGCAATCCCCTATGCCTCCATTCCTCTCAGGCTGAGAGTGTGTGACTTGGCCAAGGTCACCCAGTGGGTTTTTATGCTCAAGTGGAGATTTGAACGCTTGACCTCCAGAGTTGTAGTCCTATGCAGGCAGTGGTGTGAGGGAGGCACACAACCTGGTACACAACTACGACTAGCCAGCAACTATTCAAGAAGGGTAGAGCTATCTGGAAGCCACTGCAGAACCGTTATATAAGGAGGTCCTGGCATCCTCCTTATGCAATGTTGGAAAATATGTTTATTTTAATATTGTTCTTAGTCTTTTTTTGGGGGGGGGTATTGTATTATTGTTTTATTGTAATGTGTGTTTTAATCTGTAAGCCACCTTGATTGCCTAGGCAAAAGGTGGGATATAAGAAATAAATTTATTATTATTATTATTATTATTATTATTATTATTATTATTATTATTATTATTATTTAAAGTAGTTATGGTAAACTGTGGTGGCCAGTGGATTCCATGTCAGGGGTGCAGTGAATCCAGTTTGGGTTTCATTCCTGGCTTAAAGGGCTTCTCCAAAATATTGAATCCTAGCCCCAAAGAGGTTCAGCACTTTGGACAGCAGCTTGAAGGCCTGGAACAAAACCCAGGGCAGTTTTACCTTCCTGCTGACACAGGAGAATTTGGGCCCATGAGTCCTGGTGCCTTTGGGGTATTTAGCCCCTCTACAAGCATTCCTAAGCAGAGTGCATATCCGCTGCTCCACCACAGGGTGACCATGTGTCCTACTTGATAGAGGACAGTCCTCTGTTTGGAGGCATCCTCTATTTAGTGTTTTCCAAACTTTGGTCCTCCAGATGTTTTGGACTTCAGCTCCTAGAATTCCTGACTGTTGGTCAAGCTGGCTAGAGCATCTGGAAGCTGAAATCCAAAATACCTGGAGGACCAAAGTTTGGGAATTAATGCATCTATTTGATGGGCTATTTTGTCCAAGTGGTCATTCAGACATCGTTTTGTGTTGTTGTTGTTGTTTTAGCACAACTAAACGAATAATCTCATGCATGCATTCCAGATTTGTTATTTGCACTATGGAACCACATCTATGTGGATCTCTGCAAGTTCCATCGCTTGACTAAAGATGGAGTCGATGATGCGAATGTATTCAAAACACATTCAAGGTGTGCAGAGTTTTATCCCAGGTCGATTTGCATTGGTTATTCACATTGCCAATGACACAAATCTTAAAAAAGCAAACTCAGGAAAAAAACATATTGATTATCCCAGGTTAAGTGGGGTTTTTTGATAACCCTGCCCCCCAAAAAATCCTAATAGGGTGCATTCGAAATGCGTGTGAACAATGGAGATTCACTCCAAATTCATCCTGGATTATTTTCATCATCTGAACTGTGCCTTCCAAGTCGCATTTAAACAGGTCACACTGTGAGACTTTGGAGTTAAAAGGGAAGGGTTTGGAGAATGCAACTGCTTTTAAAGACAAATGATCCGTTGTGTTATTTGGAGGGTAGAGGAAGGGACCCAGCTTTTTGGTTTAGGGTGACCCAGTGTCCTATGCTCAGTGCTTAGAGCTCATTCCCCTATGCTTCGGTGTGTCTCCATCTTCCTCAGTCTTTCTCTGCCCCAAACTATGGCTCCTTTCAAACCTTAAGACCTACCCTTAGCCGGAGGCTAGGGAGGGATGTGTCGCCTTCTCCCTTGGGGCTTTCATTTTCACTTTCCAAAGATTATCTCTGTACATCTCAGCCTTGTTTTAAAAATCTCCATGAAAAACTTCCTTGTTTTGCAAACCTTTGGGAATTTGAGTTGAATGCCATTTCATAAACTTGTTTATTTTGATTTGTATGCATTGTTCAGTTTGCTCTGTCTTGCGTTGGGTTTGTTTCGGTATTGGCATCTGATGAAATGGCAAACCTCCTCTGGACAAATCTTGCCAAGAAAAGCCCATGATAGGGTTGCCTTAAGGTCGCCATAAATCAGAAATGACGTGAAGGCACACAACGACAAGAAGAGCTGGGTGAGCAATGCAGAATTAATCCAGTTTGACACCGCTTTAACTGCCCTGGCTCAATGCTCTGGGATTTGTAGTTTGGTGAGATATTTTCTCTGTCTGAGAGCCACAACAAACTACAGGTCCCAGGATTCCATTGGACAGAGCCATGACAGTTAAAGCGGTGTCCAACTGCATTGGGTCTTATACTTTCATTACTGGGGTGCCATAAGTCAGAAATGACTTGAAGGCACATAACAACAACAACAAATTGGAGAAAGGAACTGATTAGTATGAATTAGTTGACTGAAAGTAGTTGCTTCTGGTGGACTGTGTGTGCAGCAGTTGCACACATTGCAGACAACAGGCAGGAATTTATCTTAATTTTGTTTCCGCAGAGTTTCAGCATGGCAGGAGTGACAGGTTTTTTTAGACTTCATCTCCCAGAATCCCCTAGCCATTCTGGGGATTCTGGGAGGTGGAGTCCAATATATATATATATATATATATATATATGCGCTCTCTGTGGACGTGCAACAGTTTTCATGAAGTAAAGCAGCACAGCTGAGACTGTGGTTCCTGAAAGCAGAGAGGCCTGTGCGACTATTGTCAAGGGAAGGGGTTGGAAACCTACGGCCCATGGGCCGCACCCGGCCCTTTGAGGCCTGCCGACCGGCCCCTAACCAGTTCTGCCGCCGCCACCACCGCGGGAGTCCTCCGGGGTGCCATTTTGTGTTCCAAAATGGCACCTGGAGTCTCACGTGACTCCAGGCGTTATTTTGGAACACAAAATGGCACCCCAGAGGACCCCCCACAGCTGCGCTGGGCCTCTCCAAGGCCTGGCGCGGTCAAGGGAGCCCTCCTGGGGGACCCCCGCGGCCGCCAAAATAGCGGCCCCCCACGCGCGCACGCATGCACACGATGGTGGGAGTTGTGTGCATGCGCGCCGACCGCCAGCATCATTTCCCCTCCCCTCCCGGCCCACCGGCAAAAAAGGTTGCCGACCCCTGGTCAAGGGCGACATGCAAAGTAGTTTAACACCAGGGCTTACTGTGAATTGTGCGACACAACTGGAGAAGCCTCAGTTCCCCAGCCCTTCTGACTGAGCAAAGAGAGAGGGAGAGGGAAGGAAGGAAGGAAGGAAGGAGGCAGAGCATTTTCCTTCCAGACAACACCACTCCTCTCTGCCAGCCTCGACTTGCCGGCCTTGTCAGACGCTGCCATTGAACGCAGCCTCAGGGCAAGAACATCCCGCCACGAAAGCCCCACCTTGGTTTCTTGGCCGGGCCGCATCCATCTGCTTGTGCAAAGAGGCAGAATCCACTCCTCTTGCTCTCCAACAGCACCCACATTGTCCCTCGGGCTCCCGCTTCTTTTTCAATAAAAATGCATTGCAATTGCATTTTGCAATTTGTCCTCTGTACAAGCAAAAGCTCGGCAGAAGTCCAAAACATTTCCCTCTCTCCTTCTCCTCCTCCGGTTCTTCTTATTCAGCCTTGCACACCAAGTCCCTGAAGACAACACTTCACCTTTAGCAATGGAGGGGGGAAAGTCCATCCTGTGGCCCCCAATTCAATTTTTGGGGCCCTCTTTGCAATCTCCCAAATGTCCCCACCATTCAGATCAACTTGTTATTATTATTATTCTAAAGCTTGATTCCCTGAGGAAGGTGTTGGGAGTGTACACTGGCTGGAGGACTTTTCTAATAAAACACCCATCTTCGGAGCATCTGGAAATATGCTCTGTGTTTCTTCCAAAGCTCCTGAGAAGGAGGATGGGAGC